ATACTATACCCATGACGTTCTTCGATTGTGTTGAAAAACCCCAAATCTGTGGATGTAACTTGAGACGTGGTCATTGTCTTCTAGACAAGTTAGGTGAAAATATATATATATATATATATATATATATATATATATATATATAAAAGAAAATGATCGTGCGGAGAAAGGTATATAACAAAAAATAGGAAAACATTGGGCAAAATCCACAAAAAGAAGGAAAGTGGATTCGAGCAGAAAATAGGATAGGTAACCCAAGCGATACGTATTTCTGCTGGTTGGCTTCATCAGACCCGAAATGAATGCACATATGCAACTACAAAAGTAGATATATATATATATATAAAAATCGTCTGCACAGGTTAGGTGATAAAATACTCACACTTGAGATATCTTCCTGCCACAGACAGTTGAAGAAACTTCATTTCAAACTCAATTCACTCCAAAGTGACATAGTTTCTTCCACTTCTCCCCTAATTTTTAATAATTTCAAATATAGACATCTCAGACATTACAATAAAATCTTTCATAACATTAAGAACTCTAATATTCGTAAGTTTGACAGATTGTTAAATGACACTATGAAAACTTTGCTCAACACTCAACCAAACTGGATCAAGAATCTCAGTAATGTTGGCATCCCTAATGGCATTTTAAAATTTCATTCCTTGGGGCCTAAGTTCAGTGTGGAGCCGATTGTTAACAATGACATTCCAATCAGATCCATCCTAGCTGATGTAGACACAATAGCATCCTCCATAAGTGATGACACTGAAAGAAACATTTTCACAACTCATTCCACCAACCTCATCACTAACTATTATCACACCAACAATCTTAATAAAAAGCATTCCTTTTATCACAACCTTTCAAGCAAAACTAGAAAATTTCTAAAACAACATCCAGAACTTATGGTTTCAAGATCTGACAAAAGCAATGTTACAGTGATAATGCTATGATAACACTATTTAGATCCTTGCAACAATCTTATCAATGATGACCGATCACACCAAGAAATTAATAGAGATCCTACACCAAAGGTGGAAAAGAAAAGTAATGACATTGTTAAGGAACTTCTCAGCACTGGTCAAATAACCCAAGAACAAAAATGAATTTTGACTACTTATAACTCTATCCCTCCTAAATTCTATGCGCTTCCGAAAATTCACAAACCCGTACTGTCAGGAAGACCTATAGTTGCATCAATAGGTTCAGCCACCCAGGCTTTGTCTTCGTTAATATCGGAAACATTGAAATCGGCACATGTAGATGATGATTACTACATCAAAGACTCGTTTGATGTCTCTCGCCAGTTCAACAGATTTCCAATACCACGCGATCACATTATCGCCAGTCTTGATGTGGTGTCGCTATTCAGCAATATCTATCTGGATGCATGTACTAGAACTATAAATAGACACTGAGATAAGTCAGCACTGTAACATATCTCTACAATCGTTCACCAACATCTTAACATTCCTATTTCATAATAACTACTTCTCTTTCAACAACCAAATATATTTTCAGACACATGGTCGTCCTAGGGGATCTGTTCTGTCACCAATTTTGGCAGAATATGTCATGGATGATCTGCTTGACACTGTTATTCCGACACTACCCTATAACCTCTTCTTCATAAAAAAATACGTAGATGACATTGTTGTATGCCTCCCCTCCAGAGGTCTGGATGGTATTGTCGGGGAACTCAACAGCTATAACCCTTACATCCAATTTACCATTGAAAAAGAAAATGAGAACCTGTCTGTCCCCTTTCTTGACACAAGACTCATCCGCACCAACAACAATAGCTTATTGGTAGACTGGTACCAGAAACCCAAGGCCTTAGGGCGGTTCCTCAATTTTAGGTCATACCATAAACTAAGCATTGAAATCAACTTGGTGAAACAGATGAAAACAAGGGTAATCAGCATCTCAGATAATACCTTCCATACTTCAAATTTACGGAAGCTATCAAAACTGTTCGTTAACAATGGTTATCCGAAGTGTCTGATTAACAAGATCTTGTTCAGCTCTCCTCCCAGTATTTTACCAAACTCTAATGATACAAGCAATAGTCTCACAACTCCTACTAACAGAAGTGATAGAATTCCCAACAACAACACCAATTCAAACAATACAACCATCATCCCAAGTTCCAGATCTGGTTTTGCTGTCCTGCCCTATATCAAGGAACTGACCCCTTAGCTGATCAGATTATGCAGTCCGTTGAACTGTCGAATTACTTGCAAATCCGTCCTCACTATAAACTGCATTTTTTCAAAGATGAGAGACAGAGTCCCGCTGCTTGACTTAACCAATACAGTCTACTCTATCAAATGCAAAAATTACAACCAAATATACATAGGTCACACCTCCAGATCTCTAAAAGGAAGGATTACATCACACAAAAGTGATTATAGGCTTCATCCCGAGAGATCTGCTCTGGCATCTCATGTCAACACAACAGGGCACTCTATGAACTACACAAGTATCAAAGTTATTGATAAAGAAAAACACCTATCCAAACATTTATTCCTGGAAATGTCCCACCTTTTCATGATTGACAACTGTATCAATAAGAATACAGATGTTAAGTAACTGAGCTCCATTTACTCATATTTGCTAAACTGCAAAAAATTGGAGCACTTACTTATCTCTCCAAATTTTGACTTTTCACAACCATAAATGGAATCTGTTTTTTGGTCTATTCCACCAAAAAAATTCCATTCCATTCAAATTTGAATAATTGTTTTCTCATAATTAAATAATAACTGTTAATTCAATTGCCCAACTCATAATGATATAGTTAGTTCAACTGCCTCTGGTCGGTTTGACATGTTCTTACCCAACATATCTTGAAAATCACACTACCTGAAGTGATTTGGCAACATAGCACACGCCTTACAATAGAATTTTCGTTCCATCCATCTACACGGACACTGGCAACCTTCGGCCATCTGTCAAAAGGTTCATCTTACTCATGATTCTATGCCCACCATTTTGTGAAATCATCAAGTGGCTTCACGATGTAATGCTTAACTTTCGTTTTAAATATTTTTAATCTGTTTTTAATTTGTTCTTGTCATACAGCTGTGTGTAATTTTGACTATTGTACCATGTATCCAGCTTTCATCATGTTTCTGGGTGTTTCAATCATCCTTAACGTAAATAATATTTAGCAACATCCTCACATACTTACTGTAAGTTAATTTAAATTCATTTTGCACAATTGTTGCTACTTTTATCCATGTAATTGCAGCTCCTGATGATGATGGCAAAGACCATTGAAAGCTAGAGGGATTAAAAAAGTATAAAAAGTCCTCCTAGCTTAAATTTTGTCGAAGTACCCAACAAAAGGCGGAAGCTTTAATTTTTCACCTAACTGGTCAAGTTATATATATATATATATAAATATATAAAAAATTGGAAAATAATGGGCAAAATCCGAAAAAAGTGGATTCGAGCAGAAAATAGGATAGGTAACCCGAGCGATACGTATTTCTGCTGGTTGGCTTCATCAGGCCCGAAATGAATGCACATATACAACTACAAAAGTAGATACACATGCCCACACATCCGGATACGGGTGTAACCTGAGGAAACGAAGATGGAGAGGAAGAAAAAAGACACACGAAGTCCATAACAAGAGCCAACCTACACATTGTAGTATAAAATGGCTAGAAGACCTTGAATTTTCAAGGCGACAAATAACCACAACCACGCAGCCGGTTATAGCCACTTGCTGTGGTAATTCAAGCCCAAAGGATCTACATAGAGAAAATTATCATGCGGAGAAAGGTATAACAAAAATAGGAAAATAATGAGCAAAATCCGCAAAAAGTAGATTCGAGCAGAAAATAGGATAGGTAACCCGAGCAATACGTATTTCTGCTGGTTGGCTTCATCAGGCCCGAAATGAATGCACATATGCAACTACAAAAGTAGATGCACATGCCCACACATCCGGATACGGGTGTAACCTGAGGAAACGAAGATGGAGAGGGAAAAAAAGACACACGAAGTCCACAACAAGAGCCAACCTACACATTGTAGTATAAAATGGCTAGAAGACCTTGAATTTTCAAGGCGACAAATAACCACAACCACGCGTCCGGTTATAGCCACTCGCTGTGGTACTTCAAGCCCAAAGGATCTACATAGAGAAAATTATCATGCGGAGAAAGGTATATAACAAAAATAGGAAAATAATGGGCAAAATCCACAAAAAGTGGATTCGAGCAGAAAATAGGATAGGTAACCCGAGCGATACGTATTTCTGCTGGTTGACTTCATCAGGCCCGAATGTGTAGGTTGGCTCTTGTTGTGGACTTCGTGTGTCTTTTTTTTCCTCTCCTTCTTCGTTTCCTCAGGTTACACCCGTATCCGGATGTGTGGGCATGTGTATCTACTTTTGTAGTTGCATATGTGTATTCATTTCGAACCTGATGAAGCCAACCAGCAGAAATACGTATCGCTCGGGTTACCTATCCTATTTTCTGCTCGAATCCACTTTTTGCGGATTTTGCCCATTATTTTCCTATTTTTGTTATACCTTTCTCCGCATGATAATTTTCTCTATGTATATAAATATATATATATATATATACATAGATATAGTATCCTTGAATTTCTTTGGACGAAGGCAAAGTTTTGCATAAGTACACTCTTTTCACTTAAACTGAAGCTTTCGAGTCTATGCCATCATCATTAGGAGCTAAAAACGAATTTTGGAAAATAGCCCCATGGTACCTCATGGGTGTTTAGGCCTTAGGCCTTCGTGGTAGTTGGAGTATAAAAAAAATGCAACAATAAGCAATTAGGAGAAGTATCATTACTTACTAAGTTGAGATTGTTGCTGAAATTGTTCTTAGACGATAGTAAAAGAGAACACATAGTCAACGAACAAAAAGCTAGATTGATGAGGTTCAATTAGGAAGAATTTTCAATTATTACTTATTCGTAAGACCATAGTTATGTTTTTTTTCAAAAAACCACTAAAGAATTTAGAAAAAGATTTAATAATTGGTGAAAACTATTTCAATACTTCATCTTTTCCGGAACCTCTTCGTCTTTACCACGTGCTAAGTCGACTGACAATGACTTAGTGAGTGACGTACGAGATTAACATTATTGACATACGATCGATCGAGGGAAAAAGTTTTGTGACGTGTGTTGCCTACATTGTGGGGAAGTTATTTTGAGGGACGTGCGTTATAGTACAAAATGAAGTTCAAAAATTATCTTCAAGATTAGACTAGATAAATGTCATTGTGAAAGGAACGTATTTTCGATGTTATCCTTCAACAGTGCTAGGTAATACAAAAGAAATTCAAACTTTAGCAAAAATAATTAGGAGGAAAATTAATTTTTGGTATTCAAACTTATGCAATTAATGCTATTATTGAGAAAGATCGATGTTGGGAGAGATATGATATCTTTCCAATTTTTCGCACTTCAAGGTATGCATAAATGACGCTAAGTTGCTTGACATCTGTTTTTTTGTTCATGCAATTGTCCGTCATAAATATGTGAGACATTTCCAGGGACAAACGTTTTGATAGATGGTTTTCTCTGTCAAGGACCTTAATGTCACTACATCCCACTGAATGTCCTCTAGTGTTAACATGTAAAGCCAAAGCACATCTTTCTGGATGCAGTCTGGTATCACTTTTGTGTACCTATTAACGGTCTAGAAGTTTGACCTACACCTATATAGATATGTGAGATTGCAGTTATTGCATTTGATGGAATAGACAATATTGGATAAGCTAAGCAGAGGAACTCTATCTTTCATTTTTGAGAATAGTCTAATCATATTAGGCAAAATTGGTTCTTTTGATGCAAATTGTTCACGGGGGTATTTAAAACATGGGCGCATAAAATGGGTACACCAATTTTTGTGGGAAAACTTTTTATTCGACAACAGAGAATGAGAAAACTCGTTTTTTGGGACTCAATCGAAAGTGTTGGCAGGAACAAATAACTCTTCAAATAAGATTTTTAGGTATTTATGATACCTACTGAATGAGACTACACGTAAGAATATACCACTAATAGTGAAAAAGTTATGACCGAAAACCGAGGCAAAATCCGTAGGCTCCTTACTTCTAAATAACCACAACAAAATTGGAGTCGATCGGTTAAGTAGTTTTTGAGAATCTCTATCCCACAACACCTGTCTTCCAACCATCACTACTAGTATACTGAGCAATATACAGGGTTCGTTCAAAGGACATTTTATAGAAAAATACACGAATTCACCTTACCGACATATATCACAAACCATTCCAAAAGATAATTGTTGTTTTCATGCGAAAAACGAAGGGTTACGTTTTTTCTTCTAAACAAATTCAAACATTTATTATTTGTGAGTAATTGTACAGCTTCGCTACGATATTCGAGGAACATACATTATTATACACATTTTAAAACAAAGCGGATGATGTGTCTATCACCTTTTGTTACGAAGAAAATTTTTTTTCAAGATTTCTTTATCCCCTGATGTATACATATTTAGAGCTGAAATGTATACATGGTCACAGATGAGCCCGAAGATTTATAAAAAAATCCCATACTGAAATGCGCTGAACTATTTATAAAGTTAGCGCGCAAACTGAAGACACAATTATGTTTCAAACTGGCTTAGACTAGTTAGTACGTAGCACGTGCTAAATGGCTGCATTTTGATGACTGCATGAATTTGTCAAATAAGTAGGTCACGTAATCCAGTTTCTTATACTTATAGAAATATAATTCACTAGACTTTTTTTCTAAAAGTATTAATAAAGTATACGTGTGTTATCGAAATCTCGTCCGATTAAAACGACCGCGAGTTCAAAATGTTGGAAAATAAACTCGAGAAAACGAAAAACCAGTAGAGAAATATCAATCAATTGTAGCGAACTGACCGTCTCCAAAATTAGGCAAACTGCCCGTTATTGGTCCCTAATACATTATTTAAAGTTTCAGCATTGTATCTTGTATAGTCTTCAAGAGTAGTGTAATTGTTTATATCAGATTTGATATATCTCCAACGTTCGGTTGGCATTTGTCAGTGTCAAGTATAGTGGTATAAGTATCCAGTAAACCAAGAGGCGTCGTACGAGTAGCGTAATGGGAATGGTTGACGATTGCAGAACCGCAAGGACGAAGCTCCTTTTTCTCTATTATTTTTTTTTTCTAAATTTAGAGAAATAAGTATTTTTCACGTCGGCAAGGTAAATTCGTGTATTTTGCTATAAAATACCCTCTGAACGAACCCAGCATATTGCTCAGTAAACTAGTAGTGATGGCCAGAAGACAGGTGTTTTGGGATACACAATAAGAAATTCTCAAAAACTACTTGACCAATCGACTCCAATTTTGTTGTGATTATTTATAAGTATTAAGCCTACGGATTTGAAGAATTTCAGGTAGCTGGGTGAAAGTATGGTCGCATTAGTAACAAGTGCCAAAACCTGCATTTTGCCTCGATTTTCGGGCAAAATTTTTTTACCATTAGTCGGGTCTTTTTACGTGTGGTCTCATTTTTTAGGTCTCATAAATACCTAAAAATCTTATTCAGGAAGTTTTTTCGTTCCTGCCTACACTTTCAATTGAATCCCAAAAAACACGTTTTCTCATTCTTTGTTGTCGAATAAAAATTTTTCCCACAAAAATTGGTGTACCCATTTTATGCGTCCATGTTTCAAATACCCCCTTGAACAACTTCTTTCATGAATAAAAGCCGACTTTACAATTATTTCTGGGAAATTTCCTGATATGATTACACTAGAAGACATTATTGATTGTGGGTGCCGATTTGTAAGCAATACGACAATTTAAAGTTTCGGCGTTAGGTTCTTGATATACGGCAAGACTGCAAAGTTAATTCTGGAACTGGAGGGAACATCTGTACTGTTGTTATTATTGCAGTGACTGTCATTATTATTATTGGAAGGGTTGGGATTATTATATACGAGCCCCTTCCCACTTCAGTTGGCCCAACTATTGAAATCTTACTTTTTTTCTTATCAAACACAAATAATAAAAATGTAGCAGGGTGTTATAGGTATAAAATATTAACAATGAATATTTTGATAATATATAGTAGAAAACACCAACTTTATCACTCCCTAATCAAATTTGCAGCACAAAAATAACACATGTTGCAATTACAGCATATCAACCTATTTTCATTTCAGTGCAAAATAAGTCTATAACGCATAGGTGGCTGTGAAAAGTAAAAGCCATGACAATTGTTTTAATTAATAACAGCTGTCTTAATACGTTTAAAATAGTTTTGGATAGTTAAGGTTTTCAAAATGGGTAGAGGAAAGGTTACTAGTGAGAAAATTCGGTTACTGATAATTAATTATTTTAATTCTGGGAAACCAAACTCAGAAATTGCAACTTGGTTAGAATTATCGCGGTACAGTGTGAGAAATAATATTAGAAGATATAACGTAACTGAGTCAGTTAATATTAAGCCACGATATGTGAAAAAAAATAATATCATAAATGCCGACCGAAGAGCATTAAGAAGAATAATCGTGAAAAAGAGGCGTGCCAATTATTTACAATTAAGTGCTCTGTGGAGTGACGCTGTTGGAAGGAGAATTTCGAGGTCCACAACTATAGAGAGACCCACAAACTGGGATTTAGATTTAGCACTTGCAAGGTATGTTTTCTTATAAAAAAAAGTGTAGTAAAAACCCTAAAGTTGCACAACTTGTTTATAGGCGAAAGAAAAGCCACTATTAACTCCACTGCAATAGAAAAATCGGCTTAGATGGGCTAAAGAACATAGACAATGGACACCTGAACAATGGTGTGCAATACAATGGAGTGATGAGGCCTGACTCGAAGTTTGTGTGGGTGACAGTCGCAGTAGAGTTATTCGCAAAAAAATTTAAGCATTCCATGTGGACTGTCTGAAGAGAAAAGTGAAATTTCCAGCATACATTATGGTCTGGGGCAGTATGTCATCAAAAGGAGTAATAAAACTTCATTTTATTGATGGAATTGTGGATACAAACAAATATTTGGCAATTTTAGAAGAATCCATTTTACCAGTGATGGAAGAATGTTTGACATCCGGCCACTTACCACTTTTGAAATGGGTTTCTAGCAGTCCAGATCTGTCACCTATTGAAACTTTGTGGCACGAGATGAAAAAGGTTCTACGACAACATCCTGCTCGTACAATCGCCGAACTGAGACAAAAGCTTCAAGAAATATGGGATTGTTTTACACCAAATTTTTGCCAAAACTTGGCTAACACTATGACCCAAAGAATTTCAGCCGTAATAAAAAATAAAGGTAATGTTGCCCAATGGTAATCTTTCAATTGTTGCTTTGTTAAATTCGCGCATTTATTCGCACATTCAGACGTTCTATTAGTTATAGGTCTAAGTGATTTCAAATATGTATTTTTTACGACTAGAGTGTATCTAAAATGTTTTTGAGTAAATAAATTGTTGTAGAAGTAAATAGTTTCGTCATGTTTAGTTTATAAAGGCATATTTTGGTACAAATCTTGAAGTGGGCCAACTGAAGTGGGAAGGGGCTCGTATACAGGGTGTTTCAGTTTATTGTTGCATAACTTTAAGATTCGATAGAACTTTTAAAATTAATGCATAAAGTCTATATAAACATGGGTCGAAAAGTGCGTGGCTTCCGAAATACAGGGTGTTTAAATTTACTTTCTAAAATAGTTTTTTTAAATATTTCGAACAATATTTGATGTATAACAGTGAAAATTGGTATACAAGGGTTTTTTGGTACGACAAAACGAACCATGGGCATAATTTTACTGTAGCCGCTAGAAGGCGCTCTCTACTGTACGTGTAGTGTATTAAAATGACCGAAAAAATTTTCTTAGTGCAATTTTTTGCTTTTTGAATAAAAAAACTGATTCGTCGCACTTTTCAACATGAAAAGCTCTGTCGTGAATTTTCGTTATAAATAGCCGTTTTTGAGATATCTCAATTTTTAAGGTTCGATGCATTTTTAATTATTTATGATAAAATAACGTTAGAAAGTCAGTATTTCGATAATTTTTAGAAGGAGGCTGTGCCTGCAAATATCTTTGAAATTGAAAGCAGAATAAGGTTAAACGTCAATTAGTTGACAGTTAGTTTTGTTGTCTGTTGAAACCCGAAACGTTTTTTAGCAATTGTGAATGCACGAAATTTAGTTTCTTTTACCTGTCTATTTTTGTAAGTTTTATAAAAATGCCATTTTTATTCTCCAATCAAGAGTTAGCGGATATTCATTTTGTGTATGGCTTTGTAAATGGAAACGCAGCAGAAGCAGCCAGAGAATACGCACGAAGATTTCCAAACAGACGACATCCAACTCGCTCAGTATTTGTAAGAGTGCATCGCCAAACAATTGAAAATGGTTTTGGAAATGTCCAAAGGGATCAAAACATAAATGTTCGTCAGCGCAGATTTACCCGTATGATTCTGCGTGAGTTTGATAGAGATCCGACCACAAGTGTTAGGAGAGTTTCTGGTGCCTTGGGAATTTCAGCAAGCCATGTTCACCGTGTTCTTAGAAATGACCATAGACGTCCTTACCATTTGCAACCTGTGCAAGGACTACAGCCAGGGGACGGAGAACGAAGAATCACATTTTGTCAGTGGATTCTTGATAGAACTGATAATAATAGGGAGCTTTTAAGTAACGTTTTATGGACCGATGAGTCATGCTTCACTAGACGTGGAGTGGTAAATTTTCATAATCAACATATTTGGTCGCATGAAAATCCGCATGCAGTTCGGGAAAGAAATTTTCAGCATGAATTTAGTGTGAACGTGTGGATTGGTATCTACCTTAATCGACTATTTGGACCCTACCATTTGCGTGCAAGGTTAAATGCTGCGACCTTCTTGGAATTTTTAAAGGATGAACATGCAAATATGTGGGATGATGTCATGTTAGATTTAAGAAGATTGGCCTGGTTCCAGCTTGATGGTTGTCCAGCTCATTATTCGAGAATAGTTAGAAACTGGCTGGACGAAAATTATCCAGAAAGATTGATCGGCCGTGGAGTACCAGTCGCCTAGCCTCCACGATCCCCTGACCTAAATCCATTAGATTTCTTTGTGTGGGGATTTCTGAAAGAAAAAGTGTACCAGACTCCCGTAACCACAAGAGATATGCTAATAGACAGAATCAGGAATGCATGTGATGAAATAAGGCCTTATTTGAATAATGCTATACCACGTTCGATCATTCGTAGATGTGAATTGTGTATTGAACAATGGGGTTTACATTTCGAGCAACTACTTTAGATTTTGTACGTTTGTCCTAACTATCCAATAGCATTTTAGTTGTCAATAGTTAATTTAATTTGTTAAAAATGGTATTGGAAAAAACAAATTAATATTCTGTTTTTTTTGTGTTTATTTGGCGTTACGAATTATTGCTGTGTTTAAAAACACAATCTAAACGATCATCTTAATTACTTGTAATGCTCAAATCGAAAATGTAAAAAAAATATTATTTTCCCATAAAGAATTAAAAATGCATCGAACCTTAAAAATTGAGATATCTCAAAAACGGCTATTTATAACGAAAATTCACGAGAGAGCTTTTTTATGTTGAAAAGTGCGAAGAATCAGCTTTTTTATTCAAAAAGCAAAAATTTGCACTAGGAAACTTTTTTCGGTCATTTCAATACACTACACGTACAGTAGAGAGCGCCCTCTAGCGGATACAGTAAAACTATGCCCATGGTTCGTTTTGTCGTACCAAAAAACCTTTGTATACCAATTTTCACTGTTATATATCAAATATTGTTCGAATTATTTAAAAAAACTATTTTAGAAAGTAAATTTAAACACCCTGTATTTTGGAAGCCACGCATTTTTCGACCCATGTTTATATAGACTTTATGCATTAATTTTGAAAGTTCTATCAAATCTTAAAGTTATGCAAACCCTGTATAATGTCAATCTGACACGTCACTAAGTGATTGCCATTCGGCTTAGCACGTGGTAAAGATGGAAAAGTTTTTCCAAATCCGTTAGTGGTTTTTAAAAACATAGCTATGGTTTTACCAATAAGTAATAATTAAAAATTCTTCCTAATTGAACCTCATCAATCCAGCTTTTTGTTCGTTGACTCTTCTACTTTCGTCTAAGAACAATTTCAGCAACAATCTTGCCAACTTAATAAGTAATGATACTACTCATAATTGCTTATTGTTGCTATTTTCCAAAATTTGTTTTAAGCTCCTTATGATGATAGCATAGACCATCAAAAGCATGAGCTTAAGTTAAAAGAGTGTACTTGTGCAAAACTTTGCCGTCGTCCCAAAGAAATTCACGGATACTTTCTCCTAACGAGTTGAGGCAATTTAACTATATATATATATATATATATATCACATCTTTTAATGCTTTAATCTTAATGTCCAGTTTTTGTTTCTGACACATTATATGTCATCAACCGATGATTTATGGAATAAAGCTGGTTTCTTCTTCTTCTTTCTGCTATTACTTCTCACGCCTATTGGCGAGGAAATATTGTAATCGCGAAAAATTTCGGAAATTATTATTATATATTACTACTACGTTGTATGACATGTACATCACGGAAAATCATGTCACTCATTTCCGTCAGTCTGCCGGTCTGTCTGTCTGTCCGCGAGTCCTTGGCCCGTGCATAACTTGGAAAGTACTACTCGCCAGTGGCTGGGAAACTACAAGACAACAAACTAAAAAAGTAGTGATTGCTTTAAGCTTGTTTTTTGAGAGGCTCTTTTCCTACTCCTGTTACTAATCAGATTTCCCCATTCATTTACCCTTAAAAGCTATGAAATATTTCAAACAGGATCGGGTCGATACGTGCGCCGTGGTCCGGCCGATGGGCGTAAGTCGGCAGTTGCTTCCGTTCTGCTAGGCGTACTCTGGTAGCCAGGTTTTCAGTTATGTTAGTCGCCAACTTTTGATGAGAAGATCGCTAGACTCGCCAGCACTTAAAGGAAGAAATAAACTACGGGTGTAATCATAAAATGCAGTGCTAGAGATTGTCCTAAGCAGCTTATAGACGGTAAATGAACAGACGTGTAAGCTGTACAGAACTATAAATTCATTCGCAGGGGGCGGATCTAGAGGGGGATTTAAAGGTGTGGGGTCTTCTAGGGAGCGAATGTCCTTGTGATCTTGTGTGAAAAACGGGGTGGGGGGATTTACCGATAATTGAAAATTGAAGAACGGAGGGAAAAAATGTTCTGCGTATTCACCTTGTCCTAGTGATGTCTTGGGGGGGGGGGGGGGGCTGTGTCTATCAGTTACCGTACCAGAACGGTAACAATCGTATATTTAGCAACACTGTGTCAAAAGTGTTAGGATGGGATATCGTTGGTATGATCGGAACGCGACACCTGACATGACAGTTGACCATAAGCGCCATTATGCTTAGAGCACAGGACTTTCGCTATTTCCCGTTTCATGTTTCATTAATCTATACACATATTAGCAAGAATTTATTATAAATGTCATAACCGCCAGATATCGTCAATTTGCGGATACTGGGCGCTACTAAAGTAGCCACTCGCCAAGCTATCCATCTTAGTCGCCACTTTGGCGAAAAATCGCCACGTTTGGCAGCCCTGGATCAACGGTGGGCTGTGGAAGTGTATGCCGTCATCCTCGCAGGATTAGTCATAACAGGATTTTTTTCAGAGGGACCAAGAGGGCCATTCATCGGCAAGAAATGACTGTGTGAAAGTACCTGCCACCCAAAACCCTTTGGCGTGGGTAGCATATTCCAACTCCTGAAAATCCCCAAAATTGTACACAGTTGCATGCTAAATATGCAAGTTTTAATTATATGTGAATGTTTGAGCAGCTTTTTTGTTTAGAGGAGCTAACTTGTGTTGAACATATTTTTTTATAAACAGCGTTGCGTGAGTAGTACAGATTTAACCTACTTGACGACATTTTTTGCATGACAATTGCAAAAACCACCTTATTTCAAAGATAATGAAATTGTGCATCCGCCTTTATATTTCAATTTGCGCATACGTATTAAGTAGTATTTCTTCACAATCCTTTGATGAGAACATATAATTTTGCAATACCTAAAACAGTAAGTGCAAACACTGTTTTGAGTTGAAACTTTGTTGCTTTTATTTTGTACGCATAAACGAACATTTTTTTATATCAGACAAGAAAAAGTAGAGGAAGAAATGTCGTGGTACTTCTGTCGATGATTCATTGTGCTTCGTTTTTGTTAATCCACGCAATATGAGCGGAGATATTCTGATTTAGAGGTCATATACTCTAAGACCCTGCTAAGTAACACTGCTACAAGATAATCCTCACCTAATTTTTGCATGCAGTATTTATAATAATTGTTTTCTTCCCAACTAGTACATAAGTCTCTCTTACGTCATATTAAACGCTACCAAAATTTCCTGCTTCTTACAAAAATAAATGTAAGTCTTATTTACACAAATGCGTTTAACAACCATACACGAAATTTCTCTTACAGATTAGTAATAGATTTCAAGCACTAAAACGCCGAGTATTGATATTTCTCGTACTTGGTAGTAATGAGTGAAGTAATCTACCTACTATATGATATAACTTGATTTTCATATTTTATTCTGGTTACTGACACAGGTTAGTGGTACAGCCTTTGCAGAAGAAAAATTCTAATACATGTACTTACAGTATTCGAAAATAAGCTTCAGAAGTTGCCCTAACAATCCCAATGTTCGATTTCAGGAATCAGATATGGCAAACGCAGTCCTACCAAACATAATAACCAGTAAAAATCACGACAACCGATCGCCTTGGATGAAGCGTTTCAGCGCTTCAGGAAAATCGGGGAGACCAGCAAACCTCCTAGGCACTATCATACTGAGACCTCCAGACAAAACGGTGACAGAGAAGATCGTCGAATCTCAACAGATTTCAATAAAGGAGAATTCCAGTAATGCTGTGCAAGATTCACAGCCTCAAAGAGGAAATGTAATTGATTGGTTTTTAGGGGTTGTAGGAGCTAGGCCTCCAGAAAGCAATCAACCTGGGGAAGCAGGTTCACCACAAGTTGTTAGTGATTGTCCACCTTGCAGTAAGTATATTTCGAAAACTTCTTTCTCCAACCATACGAAGAAGTCTCTACACTTAACTTAATTCATTAATTACTTGCAACCGATCTCACGTTGACGTTCACAATTACTTTAACGGTCCAGAGAACTGGTTACAAATTTTGCCGGGATTGTACAAAAATCTCAACTGCCAGCGTATTTGCGTTCTGTATATTCCTATCGACATCAAAACAGCAATTTACATTTCCAATATTTTGGGGCCGTGGCATGCTTTTATTTCTTTTTATTTTTTCTTCAACATATTATATAAGTAACTCGACGATATTTACACCCAGCCTTTATCACGGTTTAAGTACACAAACATAGGTGATCATAGGATATGTTTATTTTTAGCGTGTGGTGAGGTACTGCAACACGTGCGAATTGTCGGAGGCATCGAAACATTGGTTAACGAATTTCCTTGGATGACGGCATTGATGTACAATAACAGGTTCTACTGTGGAGCTTCTCTCATCAATAACAAATACGTTCTGACAGCAGCACATTGCGTTAACGGGTATGAATTCTAAACAACTGAAAATTCTACGGTCTATCAACACATACAACTTTGGGCATTAGAATTCTAAATTCTTGTCTCGAAACTTCTGTATCGTTATCAGTTGTGATAGCTTTCATAATTGAAGTCAAAACATGGATGAAATGCATATGTTTGAAACAACTCCAATTACATGGGTATATGACAGCAACTTAGATGATCCCTTTGCGAGGTGTTAATGGTCGAGAATGCATAACCGAAAACTTTGGACCAACGTTGAGGCACACTTGTCACTTAATTCGAATGTCCATATTCATATGCCGAAATTGCATCCGCTAGCATACGATGCCAATTTTCTCGTGAGATGTTTTATGCCATTCTCTACCGTTTTGGTGCAGACCATACACGTTTCCGTGAGGTAATGAACATACTGAAATGGTAGGTAGTACGGGCCGCGACCTTTCCACGTCTGAAAACAGAAAAGTTCTAAATTCATTATGAATATACAGGGTGATGATTTGTTTGAACACGTCAAATATTTAATATCACATATCGCAAACACTATTGAACCGAATTTGTCAGAATATGTCACATTTACAAAGTTATCTAGGAGTAACGTAAAAATAGTCGGACAGTTAAAATCCCTAATGATTAGATTTGAACTAAAGCTTTGTGAATCAAAATTTGGGGCCGGATTAAGTTCTTTTTCATTTATTTGTATTCTATTAAATGCATCGCCAATTAACTTATTCTCGGAATTTATTATCATTTTCAGAACAAAGAACAGTGAATAATGTGGATAAAGGGTCGAATCAAAGTTATGCCGCTATTTACTCCTTTCTATGAAGTTTTAATGGTCTAATTCCTCGTACTGATGTACAACATGTGTTTTGCTTTCAAGGGAAACGGCATTAAACATGCCAAGAGTCTGTATTTGGCTCTCCAGACTAATTCAAAATTGTGATAAGAATATAGAAACACCTGATGTACAGATCCTGACTCAGCATATTTAACATAGTTACATATACATCCTGTCACCAAAACCATACATTAATTAACGTATTCTGAATTAAGATAGCCAACCTATACATATTTACTATAAATACTTTGAAAGGGTTAGTGTCTCATAGATGGCGCTGAAGCAACCTATAAGATCTTAACATTTTCAAAGTATATAGTAAATAGAGAGACAGCTGTGACAAATTCCCTCAGTTGACGTTAGGGCATCTTATTTTATCTCGGATAATTTTTTTTATGCGGGAATGTAGTATTAGGCTGGCTATCTCAAATGCTGAAATCCGTCATTCCCTGAAATGCCTAGTCGGTCCCTGTATTGCCGGCAAATACCGTAACAGCGATTATTACAACGTTTGAGTAAGCATTTCAGTCATTCCCTGTAATGACTGAACAATGTCAGTTAAGCACCGTAACAACCACACTAACTTCGTTACTGCATTCGCCTATTTTAGTCAAACGCTGTAATCAATACAGTGTTGCCCCAATGAAGTACATAATATAACAAGGTACTACATTATCAATAATATTAAAAGCATAATAATCAAGCATGCGTTAATCTAAAAGAAAAGAAGAATAGATTAAAGCGTTGTCTTTATTATTACATTATTGTGGACATTTATCATTAGTGTATTAAATCAACAAGAAATACACATTAAAAAAACAAAATGCAGAACTGCGAGTTGTGACAAGCAAATAAGAGTTTCATAGAATTATCTTATATTTTATATTATTTTAAACATTATTTTTTTAATTAATTTTTTTCTAGAGTTATACATATTCACAATACCGCAGCAATACTGATGGCGAACCGTGTTTCGATGACGTGTGTTGTTGATATAAATAACTACAACGTGGACGAATTATACATATATTTTTTTAATCTAGTATTTATATACGAAACACGGCAACAATGGATGCTGGTGTTGAGCAAGCTTATGTACGTTACAATTTAGGTTAGGTTCACGAAATTATAAAAATTGACTTTCATCGATTAACTCATTTGTATTCCATGGTTTGTTCTTATTCACGCTGTCATAGTATTCACTTGATTTCTTGTAAAACAATTCTGAATGCTGCGACATCTTTACAAACACAGAAAAGACTTAAGCAAATGAACACAAAACTGGTAGAATAAATGACTGAATCAGGTAAATGCCGTAACGAATTCAATGTGGTTGTTACGGTGTTCGACTAAAATTGTTCAGTCATTACAGGGAATGACTGAAATGGTTAGTCAAACGTTGTAATAATCAAACTGTTACGGTGTTTGCCGGCAATACGCGGACTGACTAGGCATTTCAGGGAATGACGAATTTCAGCGTGTGACGCTGACATATATACTACGTTTAAGCAGAGCTCATGTTATTGTAGGTACAACATTAATTGGTAGGATTAAATCATTAGAAAAATACAGGAAAAGGTAAATAGGCCATACCGTCATTTTGCTACTTATTTATATCATGTATTGCTCTTTTACCTACAAATTGATAATAAAAATTCAGAGTATACTCGTATGTTACCAGAGGTTACTCTTACAAAAAACTAAATGCGGCCCTGGAATTTTGAGTTCCTGAAACACATTTTGTTCAATTTTAAGCAAAATTATGTGAAATGAAATCAGGGTTGCAACGCTTGAAAGTTTGTGTTTTGTTTCAGATAAACTGTTATAAAAAGGGATTTGAATACATAGAAGTTCTTAACTAAAAATCCAAAATATCTACGCATTCCAATGTGCACCTTAGAAGGTGTTGATTTTGACAAAATACAAACAAGTTGAAAAAAATCGAGTCTGTCCCTAGATTTCCAAACCTCCTGGCTAGTTTTACGTTACTCCCAGGTGCCTTTGTTATTTGGCCAGAAATGTACTAAATATTTGGCGTGTTTAGACCTTGTATATTCTTGAAAAAATCAATTTGAAACCTTTTTATTTTCAGATATGAAAAAGTTTCGGTCCATACTATTTACTGTTCCACTATGCCCATTTCATCATGGAACACCATGTATAAGGTAGTAGAGGCATTATTATTCAATAGTCCTCAACGATTGACTGTATCGTCAGTCATTCCTACAATTATTGTAGCACGCCTGTATGGCGAAAATTCAAAAAGAAAACGTAGCCTCACAATAGGAGAGCGCTGACGCCGATACGGAACAGTAGAAATCTAGAAATACCCCAGCCTTTCTGGAGAAGGGAAAAGTCTAATGTTCTGCGTCAACAGTAGAAATCTACCTCGGCCTTTCTGAAGGAGAAAACTATGAAAATCAAAGAGGCCATGAAGCCTATAATTGTAAGAACGACTGATGATATGGCCCTAAGACTTGATCTGTTATGAATTGAGTCTATATTCCAAAACTTACGACTATGCTATTCCTGCAGCTTCTCTAAAGAAAGAATCACTGCAGTATTCTTAGACCACGACAGGTCCACTTCTACGGAAACGCAAACGATAACCAGGAAAATAAAAACAGTCCACAGGCATCGATCTTATGGATCTGGCAGCAACTACAATAATGACATAGCTGTGCTCCAGCTTGATGAGGAGGTGTCTCTAAGTGGGAAGTTACAGCCAGTGTGCTTGCCACCGACTGGAAAAAGCTTTTCTGGATATACAGGTACAACAATTTTCAGTAGAGTGAGCGATCACTGATGCCATTTTGCAGAATACTACTATTGCCGAATATCTTCTCGATAGTGAAGGTCAGGATTGAATAAGATGGTACTTCAATCAAAAGGCGGACTCAACTTTTATTTTCACTACTAAAGGACTTTTTTAAGACTGTAGCCATTATTGGCATATTCTTCTTTTCGGTTGGCTTATGCATCACCGTTACCCATTGCTGAATGACACTTGTTATCGCATACTAAATGCTGCAGTATTTCCTTTTATACCATATTTTAATTATTTGTTGGCCCCTCATACTTGATATGAAAATGTTATGTATCAAATCACATAAGAAATTATGTGATTTAACAACACATTGTAACAGAAAATTATTTGAAAAATAAAATGTAGCCTTAACGAACCTGGAATTCATTAAAATAAAGCAGATACGCCACTACCGAAACCCACTATTTCTGAGCATAGTTGGGACACTATGACGATCTTTAATGGACATTTTTCCTCGAACTAAAGCATTGGTTAAAATACTGTTTAGACATGAGTAACAAGGTCCCACAGGATTTTTTTGGACGAAATCCATGTTGCGTTCCTGAGGACCCCTCCTTGTTAAAAGAGATTTCCAGAAATCTAAAAATCGGTACATATCAATGTAATGTCTGAAAAAATATCAGTAGCTGCAATGCTCAAAAAATTGGTAAAAATTATAACTTTTGCGATTACAAACCGTATATACGTAAATTGAAGTTCAAATTTCCCCTTACAATACCTCAAAAAGTTCTTAGCCTCAGTTTATTTTAAAGCAATTTTTAACTTTACTGGGTAATCCTTTCTCGGATTCCTTGATTTTGATAAATTGGATACAAGGTTACTACTATAGCAAGGACGAAAAAGCTTCGAAGCTTTTGAATAACAATCAAGTGGCGGCAGAGCTACGACCAAACAACTAAAAATATCGCTCAAACTTTTGTTCTATGCCGTTTCAGGGACTTCTGCCCATTTTTTTAAATTCTTTGAGGGGTAAAGAAATTTCTAGGGTGGGAGGTTGAAGGGATGGGGGAGAATATATTACCATTTTTGTCACATCAGTGCTATATCTTTTGACATACTTCAGACTTCCCAGTACATTTGCCCTTAAGATTTAAAATGAGACGCAACGAAAATAGAAGAAACCTTTCAAAAGCTGCCCGCTGTTGCTAACAATGTGACCTAAGCCTATGCGAGGCAAAGCAGAAATGTTTAAATCACAAGTCTGAGAAGTGGGTGGACCTAATTATTGTATGGGCTTGTTTGACGGAATCCTTTTCTAGACATGTTTGTAGCTACCCTTTTTCTGAGATGAGCTAAGTTGTGTTGAACGTAATCCTTTATGGAATGAAGGCAGCGTTTCATAAAGAGTGCAACCTTGCGATATTATAAAGAGTGTTTTAAAGGTTTCAAGTGATTATGTCATCTATCGTTCAATGCTGTTTACAGCATCCAATTTCAATTAACTCTATTGTTTCCTTACATCAGATGAAGAATTATTAGGCATTTGCGCACAGTTCATCTATACAGAAATATCAAAACAAGTATTTTCAAAGGTCAAAGGTATTGTTGTTTCTGCGTGTATCATGCACAGTAAAAATACAGAAAAACATGCGCTATAGCAATAAATATGTCGAAATATTTTACAAGCATCAGCTATTCATGGAAAAGTGGCAACTTCCTATTTTTATAATCGAACAATCACGATCCAATTAGGGAACAAAGCAACATCAAAATATCAATCTTATAATAATAACATAATTATCGATATGCATAATTTAATTATAATCGTTTATTACCTCATAAAATATAATACAATAAAATATATTGCAATATATTGACGAAGGATTTAAAAAATTGATAAGGTGAACATTGCAATTTCGGCAAGGATCAGACCATCTTACACTGAATAACCTTTAATGCGATCATTTACTTCCCACACCATCTAGAGAGGAAGCATTGTAATCGCAAAAAAAATCCACAGTGAGAGATTATGTTTTTTGGAAGTACACGACATTTGCATCATGAAAAACCATGTCACTCATTTCCGTCGGCAAGTCTGTTTGTCCGGTGATCGTTGACCCCTCCATAACTTGTACAGTATCGCTCGGGACTTGATGAAAGTTTGACACAGGGTTACTATGATGAGATATAGATTTGTAGAACCCACAACCCGTCCACGTTGGAAACGGAAAAGTCACTAATGGTGAGTCTATAGCGCTTAGCATTCACCGTAACGTCCTATCTGTTAACGTTTTGTTGGTATCATAAAATATCGTCACGAAAACCCCGTTTTTTTTGTTCAAAGTCAAGTTTATGACTACTTATTATTAATACTAATATGTAACACTTGCAACTAATATATATGTAACTATTTCGGCTGAACTTATTATATCATCTCAATTCCGCGTTGGCTGTCCACTGGCTCGACTTTGATTAACTCGTTCCGCCATCTGACCGGATACTTATTCCCCTATCGACGAGTTGAAAATCATTCCAGCGTTTTCGGTAACTTCCTTGGGAGGGGTTTAGATGGCAGCAGGCGCTTCCAGACGGCTATTGATTGTTCTTAAATCTCGGCCTAACCTTTTTTTAGATTGTGATGCAAGGGATCACACACGGTCGCGTAACTGGTTGCCTAAACGTCGACTGAGCAAGGCGACCGCTCGCCGCTCAAGCTCCCAGCTATATGAGGGTGTTATAGTATGACCCAATCATTGGGAGTGTATGATCTCACACTATGTTAATTATTTTATTTGAGGATGTCAAATCACTGATACTTATCTGAAAATCGAAGTAACCGACACTTCTAAAAGCTGACATTCGTTGCTTTACTGCAAATACAACTCTCCCAACGCCACAGAAGGTAATAGAAACCGCGCTTTATTCTTCACCAACAAAATCCATATGGGTAAATAGAAATATATGAGCTCTTAAACAACTTCAACTTGTTTTATTTTATCTGATAGCTCTGAAATATTCATCAACAAATTGTATTTTCAGGAGTGGCAGTGGGTTGGGGAGCTACAAAGCAAAATGGCCAAACAGCAAGCAAATTGCAAGAAGTGAAAGTGCCAATTATGTCAAATGTAGACTGCAAAAAAACGGGCTATGGAAGTAGGATTACGGACAACATGGTCTGCGCTGGATACCCTGAAGGGAAAAAGGATTCTTGTCAGGTATTTTGCAATTTTTTGTCCGAAATAAACAGTGGATTTTATGAACATCTTCGATATTCTTGTCCATTTCGCTGTATCCTATATTTCTGAGGTCAGCTAGCAATATTGAAAATTACGTAGTTCTGGTAACGGCAAATTTCACTACCACATGGGAGTATCTTCGCATTCGCTGGGAAACATATTCTAATTCGGTTTTTTGTATAATCTTCTTCAAAAAGGGGTCCCTTCCCAGGCAGCACATGCACGTAAAAAGGACGTTACAAAATGGTCGTGAAATGGCGTGAAACGACCAGTTGAATGACGTGAAAGTCACGTGGAATTGACCTTCTATTGGGTTGTCGGAAAAGTCATGACGCTTTTTTTTGTTTATTTTAAGGTCATTTTATTAATATACAGCACAAACTTCAATCAATAATGTATTGCCCATTTTGATCGATGACCTTTCGCCATCTTTCAGGCAGCTTCATAATTCCTCGCTCGTAGAAGGATTTGTCTTTACCGGCAAAAAATTGAACAAGGTGCTGATGTACAGCTTCATCTGAAGTAAAGCGTATTTCTCGCAAGGAATTTTGAAGCGACCGAAACAAATGAAAATCAGATGGGGCAAGATCAGGCGAGTATGCTGGATGTGGTAACACATCCCATCCTAACTCCAATAACTTTTGACGAGTGAGCAAACTTGTGTGCGGTCTCGCGTTGTCATGGTGGAACACAACTCCTTTGCGATTAATGAGCTCCGGACGTTTTTGAATGATGGATTGTTGCAAACTGTCCAATTGCCGACAATACACAGTTGTATCGATGGTTTGGTTCTTTGGCAGGAGTTCGAAAAACACGATCCCTTTAAAATCCCACCAAACAGAGAGCATCACCTTTTCCTGATGACTCTCTGCTTTCGCGATCGTGTTACGCGTATCTACACTTCGGGACCAAGACCGTTTGAGAACCACATTGTTGTAAACAATCCACTTTTCATCTCCCGTTATCAAGCGCTTTAAGAAAGGATCGTTTTCCTCACGTTTAAGGAGCATATCGCAGATGTCTACACGCGCCGTCAAATGAACCTCTCTCAGTTCATGTGGTACCCAACAATCGAGTTTGCTTACGTATCCCAGTTTCTTCAAATGGTCGTGAACGGTTGAATGATGGATTTTTAAGGTTTCTGCAATTTCCCGTGTGGTGTAATGTGGATTTGCTCCTACCAATGCCTTTAATTCGTCACTATCCAACTCAGTAGGCCGCCCTGATCGAGGTGCGTCATGGATATCAAAATCCCCATCTCGGAATTTTTTAAACCATCTCTGGCATTGCCGTTCTTGTAGTGCATGTTCTCCATAAACCTTTCTCAACTTTTCACACGCTTGTCTTGCGTTCTTGCCTTTGCGGAAGTAATACAGCAAAATGTGACAAAAATGCACAGTTTGGTCGTCCATCTTCAACGTCCTCTAAAATCGACGAGACTCAAATAAATCACTTAATTTTTTGGTGCAAATGAAGCTTGAAGTGTCAACTGTCAAACTACACAATCAACATACAAATGTCATTGACTCACGTACTTCCAACCATGCAATTGCATACTTTGTTGCATATACGTCATGACTTTTCCGACAACCCAATAGTATCTCATAACGATGATTTCATATGGCAAGCGTCAATAATATATCACTTGCTAGACATGAAGATGATGGCTATTATGTGTAATGAATATCCAGTTTTAGCTTCTTCAAAAAATGATATACTGTGTGTTACAATGTCTCACACTACTAGTTTACACGACATTTGGGGTGGGACCGCTACTCCAAAGTTGCCATTTTTACACCCAATGACCTGCGTAAATACTATGGGTAACACAAATATATATACGAGAATTAGAGTCACGCTATCCTGAAATTGTTCTCGAAATTACCTATCTTTCTATTGTTTTGGGAATACTCAATATATGGAATTTGGAGCAACGAGACACGGGCACCGGGCAAAATGGGGGGAGCGCGAAAGGAATATCGTCGATTGCAGCATTTCGCGATTGTTGTTCGCTGTCAATTGTCACCCGGTACCACGTAGCCAGATTAAACATAAACAAGTTTTGAAGAGTACAAAGCTCATTAAAAAGCTAAAATGTGATGTATTTCTTGTTTCTTCTGTTGTATCTAAATGTTGTATCCAATAAGGTCATTTTCTGTTCATTTTGCAGTCTATTCTTAAAAATCATTAAATATTATAGGTATATCGAAACGCCACAAACAATAAAGAGATTTGGTAACGTTTGTTAATACCTGAATAATTTGTCATTTGGGATAGAATAAAATAATTATTTCTTTGCACGCTGACATAATCCGTTTTAAATTGGAAATATTGATTCTAAGTTATTAAAAACATCGTATATATAAAAATATACATCAGATATAATCATTGTCGTAACGAGCTAGGCGAAAGTATCCTTAATCTATCTTTGGGAAATCGACAAAAAGTGCAAAGTGTACTCTTTGAACTTTCAAGCTATCGATAGTCTATAAAAATTTAAAAAATAGGAGCAATAAGCAATCAAGTGATATTTTATTACTTAGTGAGTCGGCGAATTTCAGAATTGGTTTTGCAGTTCTGCCATATATTGAAGACCTAACTCTGAAACTGTCCAGGCTATGCAAAACTTTAAATTGTCGTATTGTTTATAAATCTCTCAAATAATAACGTTTCCAAAATGAAAGATTGAGTTCCGTTGTTTAGCTTAGCTAGTATTGTCTATTCCAACAATTGTAATAATAGCAATCTATCATATATAGGTCAAACTTCTTGATCTTTAAAAGGCAGAATAGCATCACATGAAAGTGACTCCAGATTGCATCCAAAAAGATATGCTTTGGCTTCATGTGTTAATAGCACAGGGCATCCTATAGGTTATAGCAGCGCCACCTTCAACTAACGAGCCATGAACAGTAGTTAGTTGAAGGTGGCGCTGGTTATAGTAGTATTAAGGCCCTTGACAGAGAAGAACACCTGTCTAAACGTTTGTTTCTAGAAATGTCTCACGTTCTTATGACAGTCAATTGTATGAACAAAAAGGGTGATGTCAAGCAACTTAGTATTATTAATTCATATTTGTTGAACTGCAAAAAAATTGGAAAGAGTTCACATCTCTCCTAACATTGATTTGTCACAATATATACAATAGTCACATACCTAATCAACAGTTTTTGGATATTTTACCCCATTTTTGACCCTCAAGTTTGTAATTTTTCACTTTAGGTACGATTGTTGAGTGTTAATTCTTAATATACAGTACCTGTACATCTTTCCATAACAACAATAATTATTTTTAAAACATTTTTAATCACATCTTGAACTGTAAAATAAACGCTTCTCTTGAAAACAGCAGATATTCTCTATCAGGTTGGCAACACAGGAAACGAAATAGTTTTCTTTACAATTAAACATATCTGAATAATGTCAAAGTTAAACATCACTGTTGGCCTACTGATCACATGTTGAACATATGGAGGGTCCACCAAGACGTAATGTAGAAAACTTTCAATATTCATAATAAATTAATCTTTAATTCTTTTAAGCCCGTTGGTGGTTTTAAATATCACTTAATTGTTTGTGGTTGCTATTTTTTAAATTTGTTTTTGGCTCCTGGTGTTGATATCTTGGACTATCGAAAGCTTGAGTTTAAGTGCATTCTTTGTTGAGTTCCCAAAGATATATTAAGGATATAAAAATATATGTGATTAAAAAATATAAGCTCAAAAACAAGTCATTAAAGCATCTAACAGTATGCATACACAATAAATTGAACATTTATACCCTATTTCACCAGTATCCATCACACTTCTACTACTCCTACTTCTACTGATCAGCATGTGACATTTTTGTATTAGTCTGCAATGTTGGCAATAATGAACCAGGTGTAAATCTAGTAAAACTTGTTTGTAGCGTTTTGTTCTTTGTATGCGAATGAACTTTTCTAAATAAAAGAGCTTTTAGCAAGTACAAAATGAATCTGTAGGTTTAAGAAACCAAAACAAAATATGGCTCTGTCTACCTGGCATTAACGGATCCGTCAGAATTATGTGTCCTTTGCCGATATGGGGAATTTTGAAATATTACTAGATAATCAGCTGTCATTCTACCATAGGACTTCGATATTTGGAGCAATAACGTTAGTTGAGGTGCTTATGCTAGTTTGGTTCTAATAAATGTCATGTTGTCAAAATTGCACCAAAAATTATTTATGAACTTTTCTCTAAAGTTGATAGTTTTTGAGATAAACACGATTAATATTTGAGAAAGAGCAAAATGTGCCCTGGAAAAGTAATATGAAAAATAGAACGTTTAATGTGGTCAAAGTTCCTGACTATTATTAATAAAAATGCTATGCAACATTTTCGTTTTTTTTTTGCAACACAAAAGTATTCGTTCTATCATATCGCTTTTCGGGGTCAAAAAGGGCATGTCTTGCATTATCTGAAATATTACACCGCTTATGTTTCAAAAAACTAACAACATATAGAGAAAAGTTTATATAAGACTAATTTGTTCAGGATGACCTAAACAACTTGGTCCGGGGTGAAGAAAAATACCCTGTGGAATTTGTTTAACAATCCTGTTTAAACAACTTTTGATGCAAATTTGGACCTGACAACATGTAGATTCCTTAAAAGGGATCCCTTTTCAATAAGAAGATTATCCAAAAAAGAATATTTGCTGATTGTGGTCAATAAGCCAAAAACTATTGAAAATTGCTTTGAACTTGTTTAGCTTCATGTTCTCCATTTACAGGGTGACAGCGGTGGACCATTGCTTGTTCAGAATGGAACAGCTTATCAAATTGTAGGTAGGTATATTTGGTGGTTATAGTACCTACGTTCTATGATGCTACGGTGTATCAGTTTTTCTCACCCCCAAGGCTCAATTCTGTATAAATGCGTCGCCAGTAAGTATGAGAACATATTACTGGAAGAAAAAATTATAAAAATGACTTATTTCAGCGACCATTGGTGAACATTAAAGACGTGCATCCAAAAAACCTCTTTACCAATAACTTCGACCACCCAAATTCTCAGCAACCATACATCTTTTTGAAAAAGGTTTCAACCACACTTTCAGGAATACAAAAAAGCAATTTGTCAGTGACCTCAAATATGACCTTAGAGGTCACTTCGAGGTCAAGTTTGGAAATTCGTCTACCATTTTTGATAGCAGAATCGTGTAGATCTTCAGATTCCACATCAGAGTGCATTTTCTTGCCAGCCCCACCTTTTTTGGGAAAATAGCTTTACAAAGGTTTCGAAATATCAAAAAAACAATTCTTTAACCTAAAATGTGATCTTCGAGACTGAAATCAGAGCTTGGAGTAACAGAGCGCATGGCATCATTTTTGACATCAATGTTGAGCTTACGATTTTACATCAGACTACATTTTCATTCATGACGTTAATTAGTCATAAGTTGATCAAACAGTATAACATATTGTAACGTTTTAGAAGTACAACAAATCTTGGCAACCACCCTACCACGCATTCTTTCGAGAAAAGGTTTTAACGAAAGCTTTAGGTTATCAAAAAAACAATTTATCTTTAACGTCAAATGGAAACCACCATTTCGACGGCAGTATAATCATGCTTTTCGAGTGAAATTTTGAATCTACTCGAATCAGCTCTCCAAAGTGGCAATTGCTATTTAAATTCACAAAAGCGATCTCTGAAAGTCATTATCTGCATCACATTTAAGGTCATCGATAAATTGCCTTTTAGATATCCCGAAACTATCAATAGAGCCCATTTCAAAAAATGCATGGTAGTCAAGATTTGATGGTGTCCGCATATTTTTCAGACATTACAGTATGTCATACTGATTGTACCTTTTGAAACCACTTGACGTCATGTTTAAAAATGCAGTCGGTGGTAGAATCCTGACTGTCAAAAATGGTGATCGCTAATGAAATTTTCAAGCTTGGCCTCCAAATGTCATCTAATTGCTTTTTTGATATCCCGAAAACTCTTGTTAGAGCCTTTTTTTCACAAAATGCGTGGGTGCCTAGTATTCGGGGTTTTCGGATATAAAGTAGAAGCTTTATTCGTGCCAGACGCTGGAGATAAGTCTTTAAAACACTAAAAATACCAACACTTAATACATACTTATGAATACCACAACCGGCCATTTGACCAGCTATACTTGTCGACGTTTTACATATGTCGTAAGAGGTGTTACTCAAAACGAATGAAATTCAAATGAAAAATTATAGAATATTAACTGTATATAACTTATAGAAAAAAACGTGAAGTCAAGTCTGCAAAAGCAATGTAAAAGATCATAATCGGCCTTTTGACCGATTATTTTATGTTAAGTCTTAAGTAACACATCGATCGTTATTTTTATAGACAAGTTTTGTAACTTGCAGGTATAGTTTCATGGGGAGAAGGCTGTGCTCAAGCAAATTACCCTGGTGTATACACGAGAGTCAACAGGTATATATCGTGGATAAAGAGTCTTACACGGGATGCCTGCTATTGCTAAGTTTATTTATGTATTTAACTAATTTAATAATACATGTTTCCAAATATCAGCATATTATTTACCCCTGTCCATCGCATCCCATAGTATCTGGTAGTTGGATTGGTGATTAAATATCGAACATTAACCTTTCATTCCTACCAACCAGTAGGCAGGAGTTTCACCTTTTCCCTGCAATATATATATTCTAGTTTACAGTAGCTCTCTGTTTTGTTATCAGTGATTTATTTGAAGTTTAATAGACAAAGTTCAAAACAAGTTGAGAAGGACTTGGCTATATTCCGAAACTAGCACATTATATTAATGTTAAAAAAGTCACGCTTTTGCCTCTGTCTATCAAGAAAAATACATTCTTGGAGTGCAAACGGCATGATGTCAGATCGCTCCATCTTCCAGATGCTTAATGTCTCCGTTGAACATCCACGCCAGGTTCAAATAGAGCGACGTTCTACAATGCCCTAAGCCTTCAAGAATAGGTTTTGGTTATGGTTGCTTTAAACTCGGCATGACGGAATGAACGTGAAGAAGAAACTTAACGGTGCGGCTATGATGTTTAGCTAGTGTATTGTAATCGTTATCCAAAATTCACTTATAGTAACCGCCCCAAATTTGGGTTTCGTATAACATAGAATTTAATAAGCAAGTGATGAGATTGATTTTTTAAATTTATGTTTGCATATAGTTACAATTGTGTATTGTCACCATCAAAATGACTTCCTTATTCTTCACAAGGACCCAAGTCAGGCGAATAAGGAGGCTGAGAAGGCTGACCCATGTTTTCAATGGTCAAAAATTCGTTTATTGATATTGCTGTGTGACAAGGAGCATTTCCTGCTGCTCTTGGTCCGACGAACGGTGGAATGAGTAAAATTTAATCCTGCCCCGATCATTCTGACTTTCAACCGACGATCTGAACGCACAAGATCCCGGATTCTGTCGATATTTTCATCGGTTCTTGAAGATAAAGGCCTTCCGCTTCATAGTTCATCTTCAGTCAACTCTGTCCCTTCTGAAAATGCCTTAAGCCACCGAAAAACCTGAGCTCTAAACAAAACACTATCTCCGTAGGCCTGCCGAAGTGTAGCAAGAGTCTCGGTTGCACTCTGCCCAAGTCTGAAGCATAACCTGATAGCACATAGTTGCTTAAAACTTGTACTGAAGGCGGGTCACATGTTCCCCTACCTGCCCTCCAAGCCCGGTACCTCCAGTGTTGTGAGATCGAACGCTACGTTGCCAGTCTAATCACTTGATTTGCGGACCTCACATGTTTTGTTCATTGGAATCTTTTTATTATTGCCTTTTAATCGTAAGTTCAAATTGGATTTTGGTACTAGCTGACATATTAATAAACACATTTGATATTCTAAACTATCGTTGGTATGCCAAAACGTAGCCAAACCAATTTTGTAGGAAATTAAATTCTCTATTATTTTGTTTTTTTAAAACTGTTCGATAGAGGCAACAGCCCACGGGAAGCTCAAGGTTAAAGCTAAATGTAATGATGTCCTCACTCATAGCAGCTAAACTAGTAATTTAAGCGACTACTATCTTTTTTAACTCCATAATCATCACATATGATCAAGTATACCATGTTACTGAAAACTTACTTTTTTACTACCACGTGTAAGTATGGAAAATGTAATTTTTTTGGATGATTTCTGACGTTCTATTATAAAATCAAATTCCTCGCTGTCTATCCGCGCTTCTTTCACTCCGTAATTTCAGCCACCGCTCCACCGATGAAAGAGGAGATGTAGTACACAGATGCTGAAGTTGCGCAGTGGCAAAGTGGTCCATAGACAAACTGATGGAAGTGAGTGTCTTGCATTTTTATAATGGACATCAGAAACTATCCTAAAATATAACATATTTAATACTTACTCATGAAAGCAAAAGAAATGTAATGCATGGAGTTATACTTACGAGAAATAAGGTTTTATGCTGACAAGCGGGCAACGTACTCGTACAAAGCGTGCGAAGTATTCCGGGCGATTGTTCCAACTTTCACTACTTATTCTTATCATGAAGTTGTCGGAAAAACTTACAAGACCTTTTTCTAACAAATTCCATTCTCTACGAAAAAGAATACTGGTCTTTACAAGTATGATTGTTAGTTTAGCCATTACTGTCGAACATATTACATGTAGTATTTATTATCTTAGAAGTTCTAGTAATCTGTTAATAATTATATGGACACATTATATAGCAACAAAATGATAGAAACTTAACTTCCCGCGCGTCTGATGCGGCGTTGGGCTATGGGAGTAGATGAGTCTTTCCAAATAACATCCGGCACGCGGTCTGGTGCGGCGTAGGGTCGTCCCGCGGCCTCATGCATGCAGCCTCTACGCCGGACTACTTTGCGAAGGGCTATTGTAGTTATGGGAGTTTTCACACAGTCCGGCACCCGCCGCACGACCCAACCTTTAGTCTTGGATCTTCCACTGGAGGTTTCCGTAATGAATTGAATAAAACTTTGAAGGACCCAGAAGTATATCTATTTTGAAGCAAAAGCAAAACCGCCTATTTCTTTTTATTATTCGCCGTCTCCATAGCAAGTACATGGCTAGCACTTTCTTCTTTCGCGCTGTGATCATTTCAATAGCTAGCCTCAACCGAATAGTCAAAATACGGGAGCGTCGCGCAACGCGCGTCGGACGAAACCGACCTCGTATGAAAACATCACGCTTTTCACAGGGCTCTTTCACTCGATCCGGAGCGGCGCACTCCTGAGAGGCGATATGCTTTTACACGAGGTCGGTGTCGACCAACGCGCGCTGCGCGGCGCCCCCTTATTTGGACTGTTCAGTTGATTCTAGCTATTGAAATGGTCACAGCGCGAAAGAAGAAAGTGGTAGCCATGTACTTGCTATGGAGACGGCGAATAAGAAGCGGAAATAGTCGGTTTTGGATTCACCCATTGCTTCTGGGTCCTTCAATCTTTTATTCAATTCATTGAGGAACAGTGAGGAAAGACAAAACACAACACTTTTGTGAAAGTGCTATAAGGTCAATTTGAAACATACCCTTTTGAGTTACCTCTAAAAGATCTCGTGCTCTAGTAGATGATGCCATTTCTATGGAAAATTCACCCAAGTCTCTATCATCACCTGGACCATCTACATCTGTTCATGGGGAAAAGCGGAACGGTGCTTACGAAAAAAGGCAAATGGCTCAACTTATCCCCTAGAGCTTAAGTATAGGATAAGGTCATATATTTTGGAGCGAAACGGAGGGGCATACTCAGAGTATTGTAGCGTAGAGGAAGAGGATACTACGAACATTCCACTAACCGCATCATTAACGAATAAACTGAATCCACCTGAAGTATCAGCTGACTATAGCGAGGAAGTTTTAGTGGAGGAAGTAGATGAGCTCGAGTATGACGGGCTGAAAGATTTTGCCGGCTTTGTTTGCCATAAATTGCAGGATGAAAGGTTGAAAAGTTCCTCAAATGAAACTTACTCCTGGATAGACCATCTTAGTGAGAGTGGATTATCAGAACCTTCCACAGCTTTCATAAATCAAATTGAGAAGCTTAATAAGGTATTTACTACATTCAATGAGGTTGGAATAGTGGCAGAAAAGCAAAATTTCATAGTCGAACTTCTGCTGAAGAGCAGCAACATTGACTGCCCTTAAAAAGTTAAGAAACTATTTTTCAGGTCAAGGATGTTCTTCCGGATCAAAACTGGAAAATCGTAAAAGGAAATGGAGCAAAATTGTGGCTTAGACTAAGTCATTTCCATTAATTGTTATATCGCCAGCTTACTGCAAAAAGATGATAACTCCATTTTTCTTCTTTTCGAGTTGCGTACATTTTCACACTTGCATGTATAGTTATTACTTAGGATGTTCTGTGAAATAAGGATGAATTAATGTAGTGCAGAATTAACGTCATGAGCATGTTAATCCTGCTCCACCGAACATACTAAAATATAGGTAATGTAGAAAAATCTTGTTTTCACAGTAAAGTGGCGATACACGCTCTATTGTGGAGCTAGAAAGCCGTTTAAGCTATAGCCTGTGAGATAGGAATTACAAGGTTGAAATCTTTTATTTAAATCCGCTATTTTTTTTGTATAAATTTTAAATGTAGCCAGTGTCACTCGCACCGCTAAGACGAATCCAACGACACCTCATATGTGAAAATCTATCAAGCCGTTTGATCTGTGGCCTATCAAGTAGGAATTACAAGGTTTAAGTTTTTTATTAAAATCCACTATTTTGTGTTGTATAAAATTTTAATGTATCCAGTGTTACTCGCACCGCTAAGACGAATTCAACCACACCTCATACATGAAAATCTATCAAGCCGTTTGAGCTGTTGCCTATGAAGTAGGAATTACAACGTTGAAATCTTTTATTAAAGCCACCATTTTGTTTTTTATAAAATTTCAATGTAGCTGGTGTCACTCGCACCGCTAAGACGAATCCAACGACAACACGTATATGAAACTATGTCCAGCCGTTTGGCCTGTAGGTGAAAATATGCACGTTATCGATATCAACCTAAATGGGAGTCACTCTCTGCGTGACGTCATGCGCGCCGGCGGACGAAAATCGAACAGCGGAGCATCCGGCACTAATTAATAGCAAAATATACTCGCTTATACATGACACATACCTCAAGTATTACATGGTCGAAGCATCAAAGGGATGTGAGGGGCAACACTAGCACACTGAATTTCAGGTCAAATTTCAATACTTACTGAGGAACATTGCGTCAGTGTTGCCATGTACGATATTCCAATTAAGTTTACTAGTGCTTTGATAGGCAGAGAAAAATTGTTACAGTTTTGTTGACTCACCTTGAGATTAACTGTTCCACGACTTTCGGTTATAAACTTGTCAGGCGGTAACAAAGTATGCATACTGTCAGTAATATTGATTTTTCCTGGCTGAAAAGAAACCAAAGTATTATGAGGGCTACAATACGATATGTTATTGTAATTCAGAATACCTCACTGGTGGATTGCATCCTAGAAGCTGTATTTACTGTATCACCAAAGAAGCAGTACCTTGGTACTTTAATACCTACGACACCTGCAACGGCTGGTCCAGAGTGAACACCTACAAGCAATTTCCTTTAAAGGGACAGGAGGCTCTGAGTCGCTTTTTAAAAAGAAAGAGCTCAATCATAATTTACAGTTAAGTACGCAGAACAAACATCATTTTGTCAACAGTTTAACCCCTTCGAAAATGCATCTGAGCATATCTCAAAAGATACCAACATGCTTCTTGTGGAATGTTCACACAACATTGAGCGGTGAATATAAATAATATTTGTTTTGCAAAGTCACACAACGCCCTTCATACTTGCATGATCTTTTTTGTACTTGGCTTATGATGTTTTACTAATTGTTAAGCATAAGCAAATTGAATCACGTAGAAATTATTTTTGGTGCTGGTATATTACCAATCCTTATTTCCACCTCGTGATCATCTGGCGTTTTGATATCTCTAATACTCTCAAGCATTGCTAAAGCCAATTCTGCAATATTTTGTGCGTGCATTTCTGTCCTTTCTGGGGCACCACTGGCTACCATGTATATCTGACCAACTGTTTCAACCTAAAATTAAATTGTCAAGTTTTTATAAATTTTAAGTAAGACAAGGATGCAGAAGGTTTAGCTCTAGAACGAAGGGACAAAGATCAGTACTCGCACGAAAAATGTGGAAAATCCGTAACCTGAAAACTTTAAGCCCTAATACCCACCTACTACTGGTTTTCTTTGTCAAAAATTATATTTACCCTTTGAGTTGCCTTCAAATCTGTACCTTATCCCACTGTCAAAAAACAAAATGATGGTTAGATAATTACTTTAGTTTTTAAAACTGACTTTTACTCAGAAGGTATAATTTTGAAAATGTTTCACGCAACAATTATTTTACATGTTAAACGTTTTGAAATTATAGGTTCAAATCTGGTGTTTCTATTGTAGCTTTCTGAATGTGTAGTTAATTTTGATGTCTATAAAGGAACCCGGCAGTTTCCTTATCGAAAATGGCTTTCGGCTAAATTTGTTGAAACTTCGAATATAGGTAGTTTTCAACACGGCGATCAAAAGTCCCAATTAGTACAACTCCCTGACGCCCCTCCGTTTCCCCATATGGAACCCAGAAACCCCCAAATAGGGACTATTAATCGATATTGGAGGACAACATAAACATAAAATATTATCAGGAAAAAAGTAAAACATACTTTGGCTAGAATATCTCAAAGACTGGTCAATGGTGATAATGGATTTGACATTGACAGTGTCCTTGAGGTTATCATCAAGTAAATTTTTAAAACATCGTACTTGTCAACAGGAAAATTGACAAAGCGAAATATCGACTTTCATTTAGTCCTTGAGCACTTCGAAGATGTAAGACTTGGAGGTTATGATCAGGACACCGCTTTCCCGACTGCCTATAGAATCTAGAAGCGAGCGTATTGATAGATGATTATTGTAACATGTAACATGCACAGAGAAAAATTAGCACGTACTGTTGTTAAAATTTATTCCACATTGGCCAATGGTGAACATGGATTTGGTCGTGTCAGTGACCTTGAATGATATGGTTAAGGTCAAGCCAATTGTTTCAAGTGAGACTTCCCATTTGACATTTATGTATCTGATTTTGAGTGACTGCGTGGTAATGGGTCTTGCTTTAACTGGTCGGACAGACTTTTTAGGTCCCTTCTGCCTGTGCACAGTAAACAGACATGTGGAGGAGGATGACTTCGACTCAGGCGCGGATCCAGCATCACATCTTCTGGGAGCAAGTAGTGTGGGTTACCTACATTCAGGGGGTATTATCAAGCTGTTTGCTCTCAGATGAGATGACACAACTTCGTTCTTATTTTCCCTCATTCCCTCTCTTTTCTTTCCTTCTATCCTCTCCATCTTTTCGTTCCTCTTCCTCTCCTTCTTTCCTTTTTCTTGATTTTTTTCTGCAAATCTGGGACCTTAGGGAAGAGGCAGTGGCACCATTGCCCCCTGGATCCGCGCCTGCTTCAGACCCTAAATAGTACTGTCCAATCAGTTAAAGCAAAATCCTTTACTACTCAGTCAGCCAAAATAAGCTAAATCACTTACAAATACTGACTTGACTTTAGTCATAACTTTCAAGGTCACGGTCAAGGTAAAATCCATGTTCACTATTGGCCTCTCTGGAATAAATCTTAACAACAATAAGTGTTATTTCTTCTCTGTCATTATTACAAGTTATAATGATATACTACATCTATCAATACGCCCTTATTGGGGGCTTCTGGATACTAGAGGAGGTCTGGGAAGAGTTTTCTCACCATTACTTTCAAATGTAGCTTTCTCGAAATGCACAAGTACTGCACGAAAGACGATCTTCCGCTTTGTTAATTTTCCTGGTAAAAAGTGGGATATACGACTTTTAAAAATTAACCTGACTATATCCTTCAAGGTCACGGTAAAAACCACGATCACTATTGGTAAGTCTGACAGAAATCTTTACAACAGTATGTTTTACTTCTTCTCTAACAATATTATTTTAAGGCTTATGTTGTCCGCACATATCTATTAATAACCCCTACTTGGGGGTTTCTGGGTTCCATAGCGGGTAAAGGAGGTGTGTCAGGGGATTGGGCCCAACAGGGCTGTTGATCGCCAATTTGAAAACTACCTTTATGCAAGACTTCAACAAACTTAGGCGAAAGTCATTCTCGATAAGCAAACTGCCTGGTTCTTTCTGTAAATAGTGGCACTAAAGATTTAACTGATTTGGTAACCAAATAGCTACGAGTGCACTGTTTCAAGAACGTTTAGTTTGTGAGCGAAAATAATCCCGTCTCTAAACTTATCTGTGTCTTTTTCTGATATACCTCAACAGACTTAGTCTTGCTTACTGGTATTTACAATTTAACTTTCGAGTTTCATCTAATTTTAAATAGTTTCGATCCAATATTACATATGAAAAAGAAATGTTTACTTATAAGAAGCGGATACGTTGCAGCTTCAGCCGAAGATTGTGCTATAGGCCGAATTTCGACTTCGGCTGTCGCCACAGAATTGACCTTCACTTGGACCCCACTACTAAGGAAGTGATACCAGTCACTTGAATAGCCTTTCTCTGAACCATACCAAGTACGAACAGCATAATCGGGACAGCTTCAGACAGGTGAATTCTAAGCCATGTTCCAGCTGAGACTGTACAGTGAGGAGATTAGATGGTGAATAGTAATTCCTAGCTCAAACAGATCAGTAAGCTTTGAACCAACGGTTACTGTTTTTGACCAGACATGATCTCAATCAAGCTGACCATCCATCAAAACCAGATGTACGTTATTCTTCTGGGCCAGTAAGCCATGTCAGTAATTGTTTCTGTATTAGCGTTCAATTTTCACTAACCTTATAAACATTAAATCTATCCATCAGAGCATCGAAGCATGAAAAAACAGCATTCATAGTCTCAACAACAACCATGGTTTCCTTGACGGTTGAAGATAGTAATCCAACTAGTTCGCAGAATAGTATGCTGACAGCTTCAAATGCCTGAAAACGAATAATGATATATACGTTCCATTATCTTTATTGTAATAATATGAAACGCAAGTGGACCATACTCGAGTGTCAAAATTTATTCAGCGAAAGTCTCAGTCAAAAACAATTAATGCGCAGTTTGTTCAAGCCAAATAGGGATTTGGTATGAATGTTGACATTAGGATCGCGACATATTCACCAATTTTCGCCAAGAGATTTATTGGGATTACAACCCTATCTCGCTAGTGGCGTGAAAAGTAAGACATCTAAACTAAGAACCCATCACACAAAGACCTAGAGGATCTACAGATCTACACAAAATTCAGGGGCAAGAAAACAATTCAAATTTTTCGGTGACTTTTGACAGGTTGTATTTCGGTAAAAAAAGGTCGTATATAGACTTTAAAAAAGCATTTTTGAGCTTTAAGATTCTAGTTTTCTTGTTTTTTAGCCGAAAAAAATTTAGGAGCAACGGTTCTCATGCAATTCCAACAGATAGCGCAAGAATGTTTTTTTGCAAATGCCTACGGGCTTGAAGATAATGTTTTATATTACCTGTTTCTAAAATCTGGATACAATCATTTGGCTTAGAGATATCTGACTTTAAATGAAAAAAAAACCTTTCTTCCTCGACCACTGATATCTCGGTAACCAGTGATCGCACAGAGAACTTAAAGGTATTTCTGAAAACTGGGATAAGCCTCATATAACGTTTGACTGCAATCTTTGAGGATTTTCTATTTGCTCCCTTTTTGTACCGCAATGTACCCTTATGAACCATGCTCGACGGCAGATCGATCCATCGTATGGTTTCTCCGGGCCGATTGAAAATGGAAAAATCGTTATTCTTCTTTTGTTGTCACTATTGGATATCTGTGACACCTTAATTTTGAAAAACTCATTTGGAAAACTGGCAGGTAGACCACATCTACTTTACATCCAGTATCGTCAGCCATCTAGCTGTCTCGTGGTGACTGGGCTGTTAAACGTGAACTGAGATCCCTAGCAGTTCCAACTAATAGCAGCTATGCGCTCTCCGCAGTTGTCGATTCTGGTGTGATAGATGGTGCTGTCTTATTTCGATAAACCTGAATAGAGGATAACTTCGTTGCTTTCGTTCTTTGTCCAGAGACGAGAGGTCAAGCCTAGACCATGCTGATGAGTAGCCAAGAAGCACGACACTATTTGAAACTGAATCAACAGGCCATCTGATCCATATGATGGCCTAAACGCAAAAAAATTATTAGTCAGTGGACTATAAAGAAGAAGGCAAGATTTTAGAAAAGAGTTTTCTTATGCTGTCTGTTAGAATTGCCTGAGAACCGGAACTCCTAAAATTTTTTGGCTAAAAAACCTGAAAACTGGAATCCCTAATCTTCAAGATACATTTTTAGGTCTAAACAGGAGCATTTTTTGAGTAGTGTATTAGAAGAAAGGTTTTCCACTCCCAGTGGGTGCACGGCCATCAAGAAAACGAAGCGGCTTGCGGATTGCGGCTCCCAAAAAGACGGTCCATCTATTAGAAGCATTTCTTGAGTTGATGTAGAGATGGGCCTGCCAATTTCAAAGCACGCTGGTTGGTTGCTTTCCACCCCTTTTCAGGTTTCCTACAGCTTTTCAGTTCGTCCAGGGAAGAGATCTGCCCCCCTGCCCCCCCCCCATGTTATAATGAAAAGACAAGCAAGAAAAATTGGTAATCAATTTTTTTGCATACTGTCTTGAGTTGGCAGAAGCTTGGAGCCCAGGTGTTTATTGAAAACAACATTTATTGGAGAGCCGGTAACACAAAATAGTAAAACGCAGTTAATAACGTATTGTTTTTGATAAACAATCAGCTGCCAACCATCTATCAAACCGGAGCAGTATATGCAGGAAAAACTGATAATCTATTGTTTTTGCTAGTTTTTTCCATTTTAACATCCGGTTATGAACATGTCGCGCGTGTGGGAGAAGTAAGGCGTGGTTGGAAAAATATTTTTTTCAATAGATACCCGGCCACCAACCTCCTACCAGTACAGTATGCAAGAGAAAAATATTAGATATCTATCGTTTACGTTTTTTTACGAAATGAAACGCGGAAAGGGGACGTAAGTCAGCCAACCGGGCATGATTTGACATTGGCAGGCCCGTCTCCATCATTCGCTGCTAAAAAATGCCCATGGCAGATGACCGATGGGAACATCTTTTTGGGAGATCTTATTGACCCCCTGGGAACCGCAAGCCACTACCACTAACTTCATTTCCTTGATACCCGTACACCCACTATATATAGGAGTGGCAAACCTTTCTTCTGACAGATCCTCTATGGTTTCGTATCGTGGGCCCTTGAACTAAACTTGTTTCACTCGACGACAAAAAAATGGTAAAGGAAAAGCTAACAGAAATTGTTCAATGTGTAAGACACTTGACAGATGATTTTGGCCCGAACGTTTAGAACATCGGTTCCTGAGTCAAGAAGCATCAAGAAAAATAGTAAAACATACCTCACAAGTGCTCAAAGACGATTTAGTCTTGCTAAGCCTGTCTGCTACTGTCTTAGGTATCATTGAATATAGTAATTCGTCGCCTCGTCTTTTCCATGTGTCTAGCAATTCGTAATTCCTTGACAATTCTTCTGATCTTTGTTCAGCTTTATCGAACATAATCTCCAGTCTAAGAACAAAATTCTTATGCTAAACACCTAAATTAAAACTCAAATACTTACTTTGAATTATGTTGCCAGCCTGCCAAGACGAGTTCTTTGCTGAGTCCATGGGGATTCAAATCATTAAGATACAGAGCTTGATCGGTCAAATCATCCAGATCATTTATCCTAAAAATCTTTACATCACTTTGAAATAATACATCAACCAACAGGTGTACAATTCAAAAGTTACATGTTCGGTATTCCGTCTTGGTTTCATGCCGACAACAGTACTTATTACACCAATTTTTGTGCTGAATAATTTAATCTCAGTATACAGATGTTTTGTCTGTAACAAACTTCATGTTTAATAACTTACAATGGCACTTACACTGGACTACACAGATAGAAAACAGCATTGACGTCTCTTATGTACTTCATTTGACCCTTGAGCAGAATATTCTTTGTCCCTGGTAGGGGTGAAGACGTACCTTCTTCATCATCCCTACTCTCATTCACTATTTGTTCTTCTTCGTTGAAATTAACTATACCTCTGTTGCACTCCATCTCAAACATTACAGATTGTAGATTTAGGGTCTGTATCAAACATAATTTCTCATTTTAAAGGCAGGAAAATCTCATTTGCGGCAATTCGGCATCGCTAAACCCTATTCAATGTTATTTACGCCGCGTTAAATCCAAAGTGGGCACCAGATCGTTAATTTCTTATGACACTATAGGACGGTAGGCTCGGTATACACCAGTGAGCCAATAAGAGCAACCGAGCAGTCATTTATACTTTGACGCTCCGTAAATGTCATTTGACCAGTATGAAACCCGCTAAGTTTCAAATCCGCCAATTGTACCTCGCGGTGCATTATCGAGGGCATTGTTTTTGACCCGCACTTGAGTTTTTCCTTTGACTCTGCGGACCATTCCTATTCCTACCTGTGCCATAATAACTCGGTAAGAAAACACGAATTTCTCAAAACCTCAAATAAATTCTATTATGAATGAACATTTGGATTTAGGTAGTTCAAGTATACCTAGTGTTCCTTAGCCTAACAAAGAGCTTAGGATCCTACGGTTATCAGACTTGTTACGATCATTCAAATATCGTTTATAGCAAAACATTACTCTAACAATTTGATTTCTCCATTTTTAGTATTTTTTAGCTGTTGTTGACACTGGAATGATAAAGTTAATGTGAATATCTTTAAAGATTTGCGACAAAACCATTTAGCCAGCATCTTCAGCCTGAA